GTTTTGCTGTCCGGAGTTAAACTACGACAGCTGAGAGTACTACAGTTGGTGCCCTGCTTTCAGTTCAGCCTGTGTCTCCTCGAAAACATTGTTTTCCCTTGCCATTATAATCCCCCGCAGCTGCTGGTGGGCGGCAGCTTTGACACAGTCGCCACCCTGAGATGGGTGCCAGTCTGTTGTGCCTGTCTGCTCTGTAACTGGGAAGCAGTGGGCTGGAGCGTGGCCCCGTGGCCAGGAAGAACGTTAGGTGCAGGATCTGAAGCCCAGAAACCTCCTGTGCAGTGAACTCGCCCTGATGGTTTCAGACTAAATCAAAGAAACGTAAAAATGTTTGCCACGGGCAGGAATGTCTTGGGTTGGAATGTCTTGGCTTGCCTGAAGCCCGCGTTTGCCTGATCCTCACGGAGGTACGTACGTAATGATCCCGCATCTCGCGCTGTGAGAAGGGGTGAGCAGCACAAGGCTAAGCATCGGCCGAGTTTGAGCTCTGCTGGGTTTGGAACTGTAGGGGCACGGCTGTTGTTACGTATGCTTTTGTGTTGTCCTGGCGAAGGGAATGAGTTTGGGTGGAAATCCAGAAAATCCTGAAAATGCCTTGGTGCCTAGAAGAGGACCCTGACCTTAGGAACTGCCGAGTGTCTACAATTACTTAGTTATACCGCTTGAAGTACTGGTGGGGAACGAATTTCTTTCAGTCCCCGCACCATCGGCGGTTGCTTTAAAGCTGGTTAACGTGTCGTTGCGTCTTGCCGCGGGGCCCCGTTGTGCAGCAGCCCTCAGGTGAGCCTTGCAGTTCTTAGCCCCTTCGGGAAGGACAAGCTGAGATCTGCCTGTGTGGGCTAAATGCAGCGTTAGGTTACGGCTTTCGTCACCTTGGGATTCTTAGAGCCGGTTTTTACATACAAATATTCAGCCTTAAAAATCTCTCCGGGAGGGTCTGCTTGGTGTGGGGAGGTTGTAAATGTCCCGCTTCCGATAAACGGAGGATTGGAGTAGCGGCAGACGGTGTATCGCACGGTGATGGGAGGGAAGCAGAACTGGGACGAAGAAGCGGGAGAAGGAAAATGGAGGTGACGGACACCATTTTTCTCAGGAAGTGTGTAAGGGTGTTGTGCTAATCGCCTACATACTCCATTGTGTGTTTAAGGGAAACTGAGTGAGGATCAGAAGCCTAATTAAGCTCCATCAATTTTTCTTAGGTATTCTTAAGCAGGTTAAAGATTACATTAAAGAATGCAGCAAGTGCCAGGAAAAGCTAGATCGCTCTAGATCTCTGTCAGATCCTTCCGAAATGCTGGAGGAGCTAGGACTGGATGCAAAATCTCACGAAGACAGTAATGAAACGGACGATGAACCAAGTCATACGGCCTCGGTCCCAGCCGCGTCCCCCACGCCTGTGAAGAAGAAGCCAATAGCGAAGCATGAGCTTGTATTTGTAAGTACCGCTCCGTGCACCTGGATGTGTTTAAGGTGTTGGGTAATGCCTTCGTAGTCACGCGCTTATTTGCCATCGTTGTGATAATCTTGCAATAATAAGATGACGTAAATTTTGCCAAGGATAGACAATATGTGGAAATGGGTTACTGGTATAGAGGACGTGACATTAATTATAGTATGTCAGCTTTGGAAAGTGAAATCGCCCCGAATCCTGTTTATGCCTATAGGACCCAAGGGAGAATGGATGGCAAAAGTAGAAGCCGTAAAGCGTCACATACGAAATTGTCATTGAAACCTATATCTGTTCCTTTAAAAATGATGCTATACTTGTATATGAAATTCTTGATGATAACTGGGGACTCATATGCATGTAAAGACTTTGGAATGGTTGGACTTTATGATCTCAAAGGTCTTCTCCAACCTAAAGATACTATGATGCTATGAATCTAGAAATCATTTCAGACCGTGGCATTGAAAAACACGGTCCAAGAACTGCTGGAATATCCGTGTCTTCCCATTTTTTCCAGTTGTCTGTTTTAACTGTGCTTGGAGGGAGGGTGAGATTTGATGCATTTAAAGGAAGAAAACAATAGTAAAGTTAAGCTGTGTGTTATAGAGGGTGAACTGCTTGTACGGTTGCAGAAAATAATCTTTTTCTGTGTTTCAGTGTGAATGCTTAAAAAGGCACAGTCTAAATGTAATGAAGTTCTCATGATGTTGTTTATGACAGGTTGACAGTAAGGGCCTTGTGAAGCAGTCATCTTCCAAACATTGTCTGTCAGTCTTAAACCAACTGAATCAGCAGAGGCTTGCCAATCAGTTCTGTGATGTGACTCTGCTGATTGAAGGAGAGGAGTACAAAGCTCACAAATCTGTCTTGGCAGCCAACAGCGAGTACTTCAGAGAGCTCTTCATTGAAAAGGGAGCTGTCACTAGTCATGAAGCTGTAGTGGATCTGTCAGGTGAATTGTTGTGGGTTTCAAAGCTAGAAATCATGGTATCCTACATAAGGTGTACAGTATTTGGTTCGGTTTTCTTGAGTGTTCAAGGCAACGCAATACTTTCTCTTGCTTTTTTCTCTCTTTTAATCTAAAAGTATTTTGTGTGGATGTTAATGCTGAAGCAATCGCTCTGCTTTCGTGTAAGCTGGGCTTCCCTATTGAACGGACTGTGGGGTTTCACCTTAAAATTTCTGGGAAGCTTGGGACTGATTTTCCTTTTCAATTTCCCTTGCTCAGGCATGTTTTCTCCCTGTATTAGTCACAAACATTACAAAAGGGAACATAACCAAATGCTTGAGTACATCAGGAGGGGGTGTTGACTAGCTTCTTGGAGAGCCGTTCTGCTGAACAAATGCTGAATCCTTTCTTATGTCCGTGAAACACTGTTACACGTATTTCCACTTATTTCTCAAACCTTCTGGAACCTTAAAGACAGGAGGCGATCCTGAAATAAATACCCTAAAAATAGGGCTGTGGTGATGGAGAGTGTGGTACAGAGCATACGCCTGCTGCTTTAACTGTGCCTGTCTCTGCGCGAGCAGTGGGCACGCGAGCGCAACAGATCCCTAGTGGGATGGTCCAGAAGGCCCCCCCAATTACATGTTTGATTTGTGATTTACAGAACGGTGGAAAATTATACCAAATGCTTGTTTTTAAGCATCTCTATATAGCCATACTTTTATCTTTTTCATTAGACACTTTCTTGTCTTACTTTTCTGCCACATCGGTCGTTACTCAGGTCCCAACTATCTTCTGAATGGAGCGGGCCCTGAAAGACTGTGGCTAAATTAGGGTTAATCTGCCTCAAAAATATGGTGGCGCGCTCAGCATCTTGAAACGTTCTTCTAGAGAATTTTATTGTGAAAATACCTCAGCTCTACTTGTCGGCAAAGTTGTCTGAGCTTACTTCCACGTAGAAAATACACAAGGAGGCCGCTTTTGCCTAAGTGACGGTTAATTGAGTCTCAGTAGAGGGGCTTCAGTGTTGCTTGCAAGTGTGTTTGGCTCTAAATTTTAGACTTAACCCAATCAAAGGTTGTATGAATCATGGGATATTTTGGTGTGATTCAGGGTTATCGGCGTTTGCACTAATTTCTTGTTTTATTCCTGGTAGGGTTCTGCAAGTCCAGTTTCCTGCCTCTATTGGAATTTGCTTACACTTCAGAATTAACTTTTGACTTCTGTAGCATGGCAGAAGTGGCCATGCTCGCCCGGCATCTCTTCATGTCGGAGGTCCTCGAAATCTGTGAGAATGTGCACAAACAGATGGAGGACAAACAAATTATGGTGTACCAAAAGGGAGATATTCAGACAGTAGAGCCGACACAAAACGTAGCAGAGCAGACTGAAGTTGAGACCCAGCCCGCGGACGGCGCTGAGCAGCCTGAGCTCGCAGCCCAGGAAGTGCCAGTGGCTGTGAACGGAGCTGGGCCAGAGGAGGTAGCGGCACCCCTGCCCCCAGAGCCTGCGGAGGCTGCTGGAGCTGATCCTGCAGAACCTGTGGAGCAGTGTGAAACAACTGAGAACTGCAACAACGTGCAGCTGCTGGAGAGAGTTTCAGATAGCACCGTGTCTCTCGTAAAGGCCGAGCTGTCAGCTGTGGAAGCCATCGACACGCAAAATCAGATGGAAGTTGAGACAGATGAAAGTGGTAAAGCAAACGTGGACTCTGCTTCTGGAGACTCCTCAGAAACACTCAAGCAGAAATGCGGCAGACCTGGCAAAGAGCAGAGCTTTGCGGTTTCCCAGGCGGAAAGCCCAGCTTCCAGCCAAGATGATACTTACAAAAGCAAGCTTCGCCAGCGTTCCCTCAGTGAAGGGGAATATATCAGACTGCATAAAGGAATGGAAAAAAACCTGCAGAATAGAAAGACAAATCCTAAATCCGCAGTACAGCAGGTATTGTGTCTGTCTTTAGGCCTGGTGTCAGTAATCGCCCAGTGTTTGGAGAACAAGCTGAAAAGATTCTTTCCTGATTCCAAGCACTGTCTGCCAAATGTCTTTCTGTTTTGAGCGATTAGCAATTCTGCAGACCATCTTCCCACAGCTCCTTGTGGTTGGACAGAAGGTGTATCTTCTCCCTGAAATTCTTAATGGTCTGAGAGTTCAGTTCTCAACTAGCCTTGAAAACAGAGCAAGTGAAAAATCTGACATCCTGTGTAGGTCTGCAGACACAGTCCTGAGTTGCCATAACACAGTCCTGCCACCTTCAGATGGGGGTCAGAAAGTTCAGAGAGCGCTGGTGTTAAACCCTCAAGCACTCAGACATGTTTAATGGGCAGCACTTGAACCAATTGTTTCAATATTTGGGTTTTTTTTTAGATGAACGAGTCTTTTCTTCCAGGAGCCTTTCCTCTTGTAGTGCCAATGGGTAGCTGACATGCACCTCACTGCACATTAGTCCCTTTGGTTTTGTGACAGAGCGTGCTTTGTGTAGGATTTAGCCAGCGTAGACTGAGTAAGACAGTTTAGCCAAGTTTGTGTAAGTTTTCAGGTCAGCAGCAAAATGGAAACAAAAAAACACGTCATCCCAGTTGAGCTTCGGGAGGTGTGGGAAGGCTAGTATGTGATCATGGACGGTTAGATACCTCCCTTGTTGAGGGAACAGGGAGGAAGAAGAAATGGGGATGCATTGTACTTTTTTTCTCTTTGCCTTCCTCTCTGGAACCTGGAGGGGAGTTACCCTGTACAGGCAACCTCAGCCTGGTGGCTTACAGTTTGGCTTTTGAAGAATTTGACAGCAAGTTGCTCCAAAGGAAAACGAAATTACCAGCTCGAGATAGCACTGCCAGTACTACCTAACAAAAAATCAGCATTAGTGAAGGCAGAATGCTTTTAACCAGAAAGAACTTTGCTTAAATACTGTAAATTTTTTTACAGGTTATTAATAACTCAGTTATTGCTGGCTGGTAAGAATTAATTGAGGCACTTTTTGGTTTTTAATCTGATGACTTTTGTAGTAAAGCAAATGTAAATACTGAAAGGGAGGTTGGAGTTTAGGGCATGGGTGAAATATTTGATAGAATTTGTGCCTGGCCACACTTTGGTTCCTCTGTAAGGAATCCCTTAGCTCTCAGGCATTTTCTCAGGGCTGTAGGGTTAGCTGTCTCTGAACTGGGAAGACAATGTCTGCCTCTAATCAAAATCAGTTTAGGGTTTTAAAACAAGGCCAGTTTTTCACCCAACATGAGATCTGTGGTTTTGCAGTCAGCTGAAAGGGGGGAGCTTTCTGGCAGCTGAATCAGCTGAGCAAAATGAGGTGGTATTACAGTAACACGCAGAAACATCAGCTTTTCCTACTAATTTGCAGAGGAAATACAAAATACAGCGTAGTAATGGTCGTTCAAGGGCTGTGTTTTTCCAACTCAGGTTGCCATGAAGCTAGTACAAAGAGGGAAGAAAATGAAGCAGCCCAAAAGAGACACCACGGAAAATAACGAAGTAGAAGCTCAGCACAAATGCACCGAGTGTGGGATGGTGTTCCACCGGCGCTACGCGCTTATAATGCACACGCTGAAACATGAGAGATCTAAGGACTATAAGTGCCCAGTAAGTTGGGGGTTTTCTAGTCCATAAACCTCCCTCCCTCTCTGTGAAAAATCGTTCAGTAATGACATCAGTAATTGTTTTTCTTGCCTATTTTCATTCCTGTATTTATTTTCTCTTTGGATTTCAGAGGCGGATGCGGCCCGGATCCGGATGGGGTGGGGTAGGACGTGGTGCAGCCACGTGGCCTGACAGCACCGTGTGATAGGGGAGCGCGCTTGCTGCTCTAGGCAGTGCTGGGCTGGGCTTTACTTTTGAGCTAGCCAGTAAATTTGTTATCCTGTTTAGAGTAGCCTGGAAGTTGGTGCCAGTGGGAAGTGATCAGTTGTTCTCTCGGTCGCCATAACATTCAAAATTTGCAGCTGTTAATTAACCTGAGATAAAATGCCTATTGGACAAGGTCACAGACCTAGCTAATCGTATTACTGTACTCAAAACCGATGCTTACCTCTCTTCTGAAATAACTTTTGAGTAATAAATGCCAAGTGAGGTTGCGTTGTTTTCTTTCCCAGCTCTGTAAAAAAGAATTCCAGTATGGTGCCTCCCTGCGAGCCCATCTTGTCCGGCACACTCGGAAGACTGAAGTGAACACTGCAGCTGGTGGCGCTGATGAGACTGGCGTGTCCGCGGGGAAAGGGAGGACTAAACGGGAATTTATGTGTGACATATGTGGGAGAACTCTACCGAAGCTCTACTCTCTCAGAATACATATGCTCAAACATACAGGTGTAAAACCACACACATGCAAGGTAAAGAGAAAGCCCTTTTCCAATCAAATCTGTAATGTGTTCCTGTTATTTTAGTACTGATGCTCGGTCCTAAAATTTGAGTGAATTTAGGTCACTTCAGAATGGGGAGAACTACTGTAACATTCCCGGTGAAAACTCTTGTAGTCCAGGACTTGAGAAAACTAGAATGGAGTTGAATCAGGAAAATTCATATTCCTGTGTCTAGAAGAATGTCTTCCCTTGAGTATAACAGACGGGGTTTTTTGCGTTTCAAGTTAAGCACCTACTACATAATGAATTTTATTTGTCCTATTCCACCCAATTTGGATTTTTTAGGCTTGTGGAAAGGCCTTTACGTATAAGCATGGATTAAAAATGCACTTAGCTCTCCATGAAGTACAGAAACAGTTCAAGTGCGAGTTGTGTGAAAAGTCTTTCGTCACAAAAAGAAGCCTTCAGGAGCACATGAGCATTCATACAGGTAAGTGCTGAGAGAGGGGATCCTTGGACTTTGGTTGGCTGCTGTGTGCGGCTGAACTTCAGCGCTCTGCGTCCGTGTCGAAGGATCGGTTTGAGAAACAAATCGCAGTCTCTCCTTTTCCCCTATTGGTCAGACGGCCGAGGTAGAGGTGTGCAGTTGTTTTACGTTTATTTTCTGGGCTGCTTTTACCGTGGCTTGATGCTGTTACGCACATGTCCTCCACAAGAACAGGGAATTGTGGGTGGTCTGCTCCGATGTTTTTATGTAGGTATTGACGCCTGTAGCATGTCAGTTCAGCGGTGATAGGCAGCAGGCTGGAACGTTCTGGAGCGCTTACGCTTCCGCCCTATCCTTTCAGGGGAAAACGTGCTAAGTTAAATCCCTGAGAATCTCCACTTGTGTTTTACAAGACTTGCTGTACTAATGCAGAGAGTAAAATACCAAGACTGTTGGCTTTTTTTTTTTCCCACACCAGAGGGTGATTTTTTAGGCTGTTCACATTTTGTGACTAATTTAGTAGCTGCAATGTTGCACCTGTGTTGAAAAACATGCAATAAAGTCATTTAGAGTTGCTACTCCCCCCTCTGTGTATTATTACTTTGGCACATGTGAAACACACTTAAACTCTGTCTGTGTGTAGTTAAACCAACTTCTCTTGCAGCACTGCTCTGCTTACTTAAGGTAAATTATGTGAGAAGGAGAAAACCCACTCTCACAAAGCACTCCAGAGGTGGGAGGCCTGGCTTCGTTACATGTCTTGTTTTCCTTTTGTCAGGAGAATCCAAGTATCTTTGCTCCATCTGTGGAAAATCTTTCCACAGGGCATCCGGACTCAGTAAACACATCAAGAAACACCAGCCAAAGCCCGAAGTTCGTGGATATCAGTGTACTCAGTAAGTGGGCTGGGGTTTTTTTTTTTTGGTGGGCTTTTTTCCTTAACGTCATTGATGCTAGTAATTTTAAAGATTAAAAGCAGCTCCTTGTTGTCAAGCTCTTCACTGGCCTGGAACAGGACTACAAAGCATAGGAGTAAAAAATGCGCTTTTGTTAATACATGCTATGGTAGAGCAAGAGCTTGTTTTTTAACTGCTACCTGGCTCTAGTTTCACCGTTGGTTTTTAATGGGTGTGTTGGCACTTGCAGCTGTGAGCTCTGATTTACAGCTCCCTTGTAGGCCAGATAGAGTGGTCGTCTAGTCAGAGGCAAAGGGCCTCCAGCCTCTTCTTGCCCTCTTCTACGGTGATACTTGATTTCAGCTTAATTTTCAAATTTCCTGTAGATCCTCCGTTGCCGTGTGCGTGTGTGCACTGCAGCACCGAGCGTTCAGCAAACGGCTCTGCAGGAGCGTCGTACGTGGGACTCGCTGACGATTGCAGTTACCTTGATCGTAGAACTTCTGTGACCCCTTAAATATCTTTGCATTTAGTTTAGCAGAAGCTCTGCAACTGGCAACAGCGTGGCTTCTAGTGCATTAGGAAAACAAGGATACTTTTTCCACAGCCAAGCTGGCTAGGGAGAACCTGTCACGTGACATGCAAAAGTACAATGGTGCTTCGTTTCCAAACTGTCAGTTAGGTCTCTGGATAACTTTCTGGGGTTGCAAAGGGGGGTTGTATGATTCCTCTGATGGCCTGTGTGCAACTCGTGGCTTTAATGAAAGCTTCGATCTGAAGTGTTGTTTCAGGTGTCTCTGGTAGTGGTGCTGCGTGCAGCAAAAGTTACATTTTCTAACTGCTGAAAACTGAATTCTGTCAGCAGTGGTTTTATTCAGTGCTTTTTGACATAGTGCTCTTTAATTCTAAAAGTAGCGAACAGAGCCAGCAGGGCCACAGCAGGGATGGCATTGTTTAATGAAACGTGTGAAGTCAGGCAGTTGGGGGTTTGAAGGAGAAACAGATTTTAAAAAAAAAATACATTCACTCTGGGCAGTGGAGTCGTGGCAGAGACGATAACTTTGATTCCCCAGCTTCTTCAAAATGGACACAGCCCTCGTGTTGTCTGGGGTGAAGGCCTCTAGCAGCAACACAACGCACGTTGTCGCCTGGTTCGGAGCGCCTCACTAAGCTGTAACCAGACAGCTTGGTTGTAGAACTGTGCCAGGCTTCGGTTTGAGCTTCTGGCCCAGTTGAACAAAGCTGAACAAGAGTTATTTTCCTAAAACACCTGGGGAAGTTTTCCAGGGAAGTACGTATTGGATTAAATGGCAGTCGTGCGTGGGAGTGGCGGGGGTGGGTTGCTTGAGTTTTTTATCTAATGGCTTTTCCAAACATGCAGCCCTCAAGGGGAGAGCACCACGTGCCAACCCCATTCCAGATCCTTAGGGCTCTTGTGACTCCTGTTGATGTGGCTCTGCAACCCCAGGGTCCCCGAGACCCCCACTGGAACTGGAGCTGTCAGTCTGTCCAGCCAAGGAGGAGGAGGTGGTTGGTTGGATGGCTCAGGGACCATCACTTTTCACTCCCTCCTTTTTTTTTCCTTCCTCAAATGCAAAGGCAGCTTTTTTCCTCCCTAGAATGCCCATTCTTTGGAATGCATACTACTAAAGTTTTGTTCCTGTATGGAAGCTTTTTTTCTTCTCAGATTCCACTGGCAGTTGGGAATTCTGAGGTTCCTTTATTCCAGAGGTCGATCAGCTGTAGAAGGTGAATCCTTCACCTTTGCTTGCTGGCATTTCCCTGCCCCTGTCCTTTCTTGTGTCACACAGGTACGTGATGTTACGTGAGGAAGAGATGCAGGTGATCAGGCAAGGCTGTCTGAAGAGCAGAACTTCTTTCCCAGGGAGAAAGCATGTCTCTGATTAGACTGACCTCTGCAGATTGCGTACCACGAGGAGCTAGTGATTTGTAATTCTGTGTAGTCGTACTGTGGCAAGGTATAAATGGAGAGAAACTAGGAATTGGCCTGGGTTTAGATGTATACAAACAGCAGGCTAAAGAACAAGGAGCACTACTTTCAGATGCTACCTTGTAGGCTTCTGAATTTGGTTTTTAATTTCTAAAAAAAATACCTTTGGTAACTGAGATTTATTGTTCAGTTATCTTTTGTGTCAATAATTAATCCTCTTTGGTTAAGGGAATACACAGCTGTTACTGTCCTTCTAAGTTCATGCAGTATAATTCAAATTTCCAATGTCTTCCAGTTGGTTTGCCTTTGATTATTCCCCATAAAAATAACAGACAAAAGTGTTTCAGAGGTCCTCAGGTTATATTCCAGACTTTCAGATAAGCTGCTGTTCCTTTGAATTTTCCCCAGTTTGGAACGGGATTGCGCTTTATATAGATATTGATGACACAGTAGGTGCTGTCTTCTCCAAGTCTTTGGTTGCCATTAAAGAAGAGGGTTCCAGTGCCTTTGAAATCGGGATCACCAAGATCTTTCTTGTACGGGAAGCTAAAACCTTTACTGTTACAGGTGTGAAAAGAGTTTCTATGAAGCTCGAGATCTTCGGCAGCATATGAACAAACACTTGGGTATGAAGCCGTTTCAGTGCCAGTTCTGTGGAAAATGTTACAGTTGGAAGAAAGACTGGTATTCTCACGTGAAGTCTCATTCTGTCACAGACCCTTACAGGTAAGAGGAAACCCACGTAACAACCGAAGCGTACTGGGCATGTGTGACCTAACACAGATCCACAGCCAGTCAACAAGGAGCTGCCTCATCCCTGGCTGGAGTACCCATTGATCGATGCTGACTGGGGTCTGGAGTACTTGAGAACAGATGGGTGACTTCAGCTAGTATGGTCCAACACGTACCCTGCCGGCACAGTCCCGGAACTAACGCTCAGGAGGTTGTAAGAGGATAAATATAATCGGTGAAGTTAGAAATGCCTTATATGTGATCTCACTTCTCTAGAATGGGAACGGAGCTGTGAAGAAGAGAAAATGTAGCTCAGGCCAACAATATTATTCTAATTATGGAACTTCTTGTCATATGAGACAGTATTCCCGTTAAACTTTCCCCACTATAATTAAAGTGCATCTTTGTTTAAAAAGCATGACATAAGCACAGAATAATGGTTTCACTAGATTTCTCACTTAACACATTTTAGGTGTAATATATGTGGTAAAGAATTTTACGAGAAAGCTTTGTACAGAAGACATGTGAAGAAAGCCACACATGGTAAAAAAGGAAGAGCAAAACAAAATCTGGAGCGAGTTTGTGAGCACTGTGGGAGAAAATTCACACAACTCCGGGAATACAGGAGGCACATGAACAATCATGAAGGTATGTGGAAAGCAAGTAGCTGGGATGTCCCTCAACCCCTAAAAGGACTGTGGAGAAAGGGGTAACTGTTTCTTTGGGGCTGCGTATGTCTGGTGCTGCAAGACACAGATATTCCTACAGGTTCTCCGGGAAGTTTTATGCTAGTCCTGGTTGGTTAATGTGATTCCTGCAAGTGGCTGTTGGGATCTTCCTGAAACTGCAGTCACATGCAGGGAGGGTGACAATTTGTCCTTCTCTGAACGGTGATGGAAAAACCTGTTTCGAAGTGATTAAAAGATGTGTATCTGGCAGCGAATTGGATGTAGTTAAAACATTCTCCAGTTTGAAAGGTGCACGCTGTATTCAAATGGGAGAATGATTGGCCTGAATTTAAGGAAAGGACCAGTGTTGTAAGTGGGTCAATTTCTTGATCTATAACAAGCACTAAACTATATGATGTTTTGGGGAAAATATTTTATAATTAAAACAAAATCTTAAAACTTAATAATTAAAAGGAAGAAAAAAGTGCATTTTTACTTTAGCTGTGAAGTGTGCTACTGATTTTTGAGCACTTGCTTATTCAGCTGTGTTGGAAGGCTACATCGACTCCTGTCTCAGGGCAAAACCCACTTGTTTGAAGCATGTCAGCTTTTAAAGAGCTGTTACAAGTAAGTCTAACAGCTGCCTAAGCACTGAAATTGAGGTTCTCTGTTTCTGACCAGAGGAAGTGTCCTGTGGTAGGTACTTAGCCTAAATCTATGGTAACAGTTACAGAGAAAAAGCCAGTGTTGACGTAGTGTTTGTCGCCCACCCACACGCCCCACTAGATCCTGCAGACCCCAGAGCTGGGATGTTGTGAGGGAGAGTAGGATTATACTGACATCAGGGGCACTGTTTGAGCATGTGCAGTGTGGAGCAGGAGGAGGAGAAGGGAAGCATCTGTGGATGGAGTCACAAGGTAACTGGAGTCAGTGCTGGTTTGAGGAGAGGCTGATAGAAGGATTTATGGAAACCAAGCGTGACTAGACATGTGACAAGTTCTACAAAGTAAAATGTGGTTTCAGAAAGGCATCGCCGGCGAAACAAGTATTAGAATGAGATTAAGCGGTATGCACTTAAAATAGGGAAGAAACTGCATTAAAAGGAATTTTGAGAAGAATTTTTTCCTTAAAGGAACATGTTAGTTTGGGCAAAGCACTTGTGGAAAACCTCACCGTTGAAGGGGTTACGCTTGCATTACACTTGTAGTAGAGGAATGGCAAACCCGATCTCCTCCTTACCTGGAAAAAGCTGCAGTACTTCCTTTGTTCTTGTATGCTGCTGCTCTTCTGTCACTTCTCGCCCTCGCTCGTGCGCACTTACGAACACTAACGGTCGCCTTTCTTCTGCTTCCCCTTCGAGGACAGGTGTGAAGCCTTTTGAATGTCTCACGTGTGGAGTAGCCTGGGCCGATGCGCGTTCGTTGAAGCGCCACGTGAGGACCCACACTGGAGAACGACCCTACGTCTGCCCGGTGTGCAACGAAGCTTACATAGATGCCCGGACGCTACGGAAGCACATGACCAAGTTCCACAGGGACTATGTACCCTGCAAAATTATGCTGGAAAAAGATACTCTTCAGTTTCATAACCAAGGGACGCAGGTGGAGCACGCCATCAGCATTCTGCCGGCAGACGTGCAGGAACAGGAAACGGAGATCAGCGTTGGTGATGGCGAGATCGAGACGCTGGTAGTCACAGGAGAGACGCTGGAAGCCATCGAAGCAGTCGCAGCTACTGAGGAATGCCCGTCGGTCTCCACTCTTTCTGACCAAAGCATCATGCAGGTGGTAAATTACGTGTTGGCGCAACAGCAGGGACAAAAGGTGGCTGAAGTGACACAGGCCATTGAAACGGTCGAAGTAGAAGTGGCCCATGTGACAAAGACTGAATATAGCATATGAGAGGGCACAAGGTCTTACGATCTGTGAGAGCTGAGTATGTAACTGGGTATCTGAGGCTCACGGCGAGGCCTGGTTTCAAACAGCTCGTCCCCAGAGCATCTTGCTGACGACACGCTGCACCAAGCGCTACAGGGAAAAAGTTAGGATGCTCCAGTGTGGGCCAAGGCTTTGAAAGCAGAGATGTCTGCCCAGGCCGTAACTGTAAAAACAAAAAAAGCTAAACTCAAGACAAACAGAAGAGTATTTGGAAGAATAATGTTTTCTGTGTCATGGAGTAAGTATCATGCTGTAACTTTAAAAAAACACCAAAAAAAACCCACAAACAAAAAAAAAGAGACAAAAAAATAACATAAAGAGGCTGCACTAAAAACTAGAAATGCACAGCATTTTTTTCTCTTTTGTTTTTGTGCACACTTCATCAAGTTTGAGCAAACTACCTGCACTGGGTTCTGCCTGTTTCCTCCCCGAGACAAGGGGGTGGTAGAGCGCCACGCGCAGCGTGTGCTTCCTGCGACGTACGGGACATCTGGGGCTTTTTCCTTTGGGTAGGTGCACCGTCGGCAGTTAGTGAATTCCCAGTTTTGAAGAGTTCATTGACATTCCAGGTCGGTGGGTGGCCCATCCACAGTTCAGCAAAAGGCCGTAGGGTGTTCTATGGATGACGGGGAGGGGTCCGCTGGAGCCTGAGGAGGTGTGTTCTGAGAACGGGCAGTGATTTCAGTTGACCGGAGGACAGCTGCCGCAGGAAGACTGCTTGGAGAAGGAAACCCCTTCTCTGTAAGCCAGGCGCTTCCGCCTCATCCTCTGTGCGCTACCGCCTTTCCTTCAGTGGCGTTGGGTTGCATCAGGGAAGCAGCCGCCCGCGGTGCTGTTGTCCCCAGAGCAGGCAGCCTGAGGCGGATCCTTCTCGTTTTGCACTGCGTTAGATGTAGAAACTCTCAGAAAAAGATCTGATGTCGCACCTTGGGAATATAAATACACTGAAGAAGTCCAGCTGGTTGCGGTCTGATCTCGCGTCGCGTTGGAAGGAGGAGCCCTGGTAACCCCCGAATGGGACACATAGCCATATCGGGATAGAAAACTCTGGAAGTTTTAGGATGGGGTAAAAATTAAATTTGTCTCAAGATTACTTGAGTCTCTAGAAGACCTTACTGCTGCTGTAAGAAAAGACTTCTAGGGCAAGCGAATTAAACCACACCAAGGGAACAACTCTTCCCATGCATCCCAGCAGGCAGGAGCGGCAGGGGGGGCGCGCACACATTC